AAATTCCAAAATAATTTACTATGTTTAGTAATATATTTAGGCGGGAATTTAGATGATTTTTTAGTTACTATTTTTGAATTATTTAGGTTGCCTCTTTATATAATAATAGATATAATTGTTCAAATTTTAACACTCTACGCGTTCAAACTTTAAAATTAACACTTACAAATACATAGACAAATTAGAGAATCAAATGTTCAATATCACCAAAGTCCGAAAGGCAAACATACTAGTGAATAGTGAAATAACACCAAAGTCCTAAAATAGACATTATATCATTTGAAAACTGAAATTGAAATTTGAAAAATAATCATCATTTAGCACAATCGAGTACCAAAAAAAAGGACCAAAAGGTCGAGGAAGAAGACTGTTCAATCTCCCTGTTCCAACAATGTAAAAAAAAATAAATAAATAAAAAAAATAAAATTGCAGGGAGATAAGTAGGGATAAATGGTTATCTCTAAATGGGAGAACAACAAAGCGATGAAGCTTAATTGCTGAGAAGACTGCTCGGACGAAGAAGACGTAGGCGTCGAGGCCGAGCCATTTTAATGTCGGAGACTCGGAGTTCGGACTGTGGGAGTCTACAGCCGTGTGAACTGTGGAGGATTGGAGGCCGAAGAAGAAGTGAGAGAGAGATGGATTTGAGTTTAACGTCGGAGACTCGGAGTACGACGGTCGGCCGGCGAGGGATGGAAGTGAAGAAGTCGCGGAGGGAAGACGGGAAGAGCAGATTATGGATTAGGATTTTAGGATTTTTAGGGTTCTTATTAAAAAAAATTAATTAATTTGGTTTGTATTGGGCCAAGGGAGGGAATCTTTATGCTTCTTTGGGCCAATTTGTGTAAAAAAGTAAATCAAAAGACACAGCCCAAGTGCCCAAACGCAGCCCAATTTAAAAATCTGGTTCTGGTACATTAATTTGAGTTTTGCACAGAATCGGTTAAAGTCGTAGAATCGGTCCGATTTTACGATTTTGACCGATTCTATCTTCCTTTGCGATTTTGAGCGACTTAGAATCGATTTAGTGAGTTTGAGTCGTAGAATCGGCGATTCTACGACTCAAAGTCGCGATTTTGATAACCTTGGTCGTGACCCGTAGCTCAAATTCACATTTAATATAAAGAGTTTGTTGGAAAAATAACAGTAACTTTGACTTAAAAAATAAAATGTTGACTTATATTATAACTAATATTCTACAACTCACATGTTATAATGATTTTTAAGAATTTTGGCAAATCTGTTAGCTGAAAATTTGGTAAGTGTTCGAATTTTTTAGTACTTTTTTTAACAACTTTTACAATAAGATCAGGTTTTTTTGTGTTTTTTTAAACAAATTTTATACAAAAAAATTCTTGACCGAAAGAGAAACTATTATAAAACTCGAAAGCGAACATAGTTCGAATACAATGCCCAAACAAATCCGAAAAAGAAAACTTGAGCGACACTCATAAAGCGGTCTAGAGCCTCAACAACCAACAAACCTACCAAAACAAATGAAAACAAGACTAGCAAAACAGAGAGTCCCAATGTGATGACTCCAGCCACTGATCGAAAGTCTAGCAAAGAGTAACACTGAACACAAGTAGAAAGGAAAAGAAAAAGAACAAAACACCAGTCATCCAGCATGAAGTTAGGAAGCTAAGGAGAACTCCATCCAGTCAGAGTGAGTCATCTTGACTAGAGTGTGTTCTGGTATAAGAGATTGTTGGAAGATCCACAAGTTTCTTGACTTCCAAAGCCACCAAAGCATGTAAGTTGTGAGTTGAATTCTTGCCTCGGCCACCTCACAATTATCAAGTGAGCAAACCCGGTACCACCAAACCTTGACGGAATCACTGCAACTGTAAAGACCATCCCACTAGAGGGGCTTAACTTCCAAACTCTGGTTGCTCTATAGCAAGAGAAAAATAGGTGTTGTACTGATTCAGCAGCTTCCCCACAAATATAGCATGTAGTCTCAAGATCAACTACTCTCTTATTCAAATGAGTGGCTACTGGAAGGGAACCTGTAATGCATTTCCACATAAAATGTTTGATCTTTTCAGCAATTTCAGCTTTCAGTGTCTGTATGTAATGGATTTCTTGGATTCTGATGTGGAGTTGCATTTTGGGATATCTGTGCAGTGAAACTTAAGAGTGTTAAGGTGAGTATAAGTGTGAGAGACAGAAAAAAAGCCTTTCTTATACAAATTTCATAATTATTACACAAAATCTCTAGCAATTTTGATAAATCTTTTGGCTGAAAATTTGGTAAGGGGTTTGAATTTTTTAGCTTTTTTTAACAACTTTCATAATATGATCGGATTCGTTGGGATTTTTTTGTAACAAAATGTCGGGATCTATGAGGATCTCTTTATGTACAAATCACAAATTCAATAGCAAAAGTAAACCTATGCGCGACAGATCTAAAGGTTTGCGTAGAAAACTTACGGCTTAAAATTTATGGCGATCTGCTTATCTTCCGGGTGATCGTACACAATCACATGAATTGGACTGGATCACAAACGAAACATCAGGCTCACAATTGGATCGCGTGGACAAGGTTGTTGGGCTTCCGGATGTTGGGTCGGGTCGCCAGGGACATCGCATCGGGCTCGTCGGGCTGATCGCAGGTCGCGGACTCATCGCAGGGCTAGTCCGTCATCGCGTCGCGGCTGCCAGTTTGGTCACAGCGGTCGGCGGGCTGCTTCGCGGCGGTGGTTCGTCGGTCCTGCCGTTACGCCCCACTTTAAAGAAATTCTTACACTGTGATTTAGTCGGGAATAATCCCAAATCGGCCGTCATGTCAGCTCTCCCAAAACTCTGAAAGAAGTACAAAAACGAGAGTTTCTACGATGGACAAAATTTAGAATAAGGACGATTCTGCACCACACGATGTGCTTACTTCGGATTCGACTATCCTACTTAAAATATTTCACCATAATCCTTTTAAGGTGGAAAAACACTCTTTGATATGTGTCAAATCACTCCATCTTTCTTATCGAACTGATTTGTGTTGGCTTCTGCTCCTGTTCGTTCATCTCGATGTCGAGCGTGAATAATTATTGTCTTCCTCGATGGTATGTTATTCACGAAAGTGGTGATAGAAAATTGTTCCCTCGAGTCTTCATGATGACTTAGCGATGACACCCAAACAAAACTCACATATTTCGCAAGCGAATAAAGATAAGCAGAAACCAAAAGATGTTTAATCTTACTTGCAATCGGGTTTTTCAAAAACAAGGTCAATACTCAACTTAAGATAGATTAGAATTAGCTAAACTTCGAGAGGAACGAAATTTAGAGTTGGAAAGCCTGAAAAATTGTTTAAATAGTGAAAACAAGGTAGGGGTTTAAACACGGCTATACCCCAAATAAAACGAGAAAAGAACTAGGTCGATCGTAATCTCCGGTGTCTTGCTCGCCGCCTATCTTAAGGCTATTTTATTCCCAAGAACTGCAACATCACTCGCTCTCTTGAACTTTCGCATTCGAGTTAGAGTCATCACAAAGCAAGTTTCAAAAGATAGGGATCATAAAAA